TTTTTTTTTTTTTTTTTTTTTTTTTTTTTTGGTACCAGGGATTGAACTCAGGTCCTTGCGCTTGCAAAGCAGGCCACCGAACCTTTGAGCTAAATCCCCGGCCCTGCTGTACTTCTTATAGACATCCCACTGTCCAATTCCAGGTATGAGAATCTTGTTGTTGCCTTGGCTGAAAACACAGGTCCTAACAGCCCTGACCACCAGCAGCTCACACGTACGTTCTTGCTCCTCTCCAGCATCCCTGTATGTCTCTATCTTCTATTAATATGTAGTGTCCTTGTTTATTTTTTCTTCAAGAGACTAGGCCCCAACCCAGGTCACCTCCAGAATAGCCTCACCCAAAGTAAAAACATGTATTGGGAGTGATGTGGAGGATGTTATTCCAGGGGCTGCTCGGCTGATAAGTGAGACCTCCCAGAGGGTCCACACCATTAGTCAGAAACAGAAGAATGATCATCACCTTCGGCGTGTCCAGGCTTTGCTCAGTGGACGCCAGGCAAAGGGGCTTACCTCAGGTAGACCATGTACTTCCCTCTCAATCCTCAACTGCCTGTCCCTCTACAGAGCCAGCACATACCCCATTTCCTCAGCCTCCCTTTTCTTCTACTCCCTGGATAACACCCTTTCCATTCTCCAGGACGCTGGTTCCTACGCCAGGGCTGGCTGTTGGTGGTGCCTCCTACTGGGGAGCCTCGGCCCCGCATGTTTTTCCTCTTCTCTGATGTGCTTCTCATGGCCAAGCCCAGACCCCCATTGCACCTGCTGAAGAGTGGCACCTTTGCCTGCAGGGCCCTCTACCCCATGGCCCAGTGTCAACTCTGCAGGGTCTTTGGCCACTCAGGAGGCCCTTGTGGGGGTTTGCTCAGCGTAAGTAATAGGTGGGGATGTTATCTCCAACGCTTATGGACCGGTTTATCCCCTTGGCCCGAGTCCCTTCTTGGGAATGAGATGATTCACTGAGAGGATAGCTGAGGGGTGGGCTTCATACTTAGTTCTCATCTCATCCCTGAGTTACCACCACGGAGACAGTGAGGGCTTTAGCCTGGATTTTTTTTTTTCAAGGAGAATCTAGACATCTATTAAATCAGAGCCAATGTAAGAATAAATACAGAAAAGTAATAACCTAATAAATACAGGAAACCCCAAAAGAGCATACATAGTCCCACATTACTAAGTCAAGAAGCATACAAAAATTTAATCCTATATTTGATGGAAACACAAGTTAAATATTTCAATGAGCCAGGCATGTTTAGCCTGGAATTTTCTAAGCTATGCACTAAGAGGTGGTCTCTCCCTAGCTGTCCTTCCCTCATGAGAAGCTACTGCTTATGTCCACAGACCAGGAGGAACTGTCACACTGGTACCAGAGTCTGACTCTGGCTATCAGGTAAGTTGTGTATTCCCAAAGAAGAGTGTGTGCAAGTCCCATGCCTGGAAATGAACAAGTCTGATTCTAGCTCATTCCTTCATCTGCCTGCGACCTCCCCCAAACCTGTGAGTGACTGTGTCTGAAGAGTATTCTTTCTAGTGCCTGAACTGTTTTCTTTCCATAGCAGCCAGAAGGACTAGAAGAACCTTACAAATTCCAGAATTCAGGACACTTCAGGGATAGGACAGAGCCAGGAGTACAGAAGATCTTCTAAAGCACTAAACAAAGTGAGACATTTCCTAGCCTAACAAGGGTCATTGGACCAGATCTTAAGAATTAGGAAACCAACTCTGATCCAACTGAACATAAATAAGCTGGACCACTCCCTCTGACACAGATGAGGGGCTTTGAGACTGATAAGTTCATGCTATGTATGGCCAGTTGTTTATCAAGATTCCAACTTCAGAAATGTGACTTTTTATTTTTATATTGTGATGTAATTTATTTTCCCACTGGATTTTAATAAAATTTTTTTTGTTTTTTTCTTTTGAAAGACCTTTCTGTCTCAGTTATGAGAAAAGGGATTTCTGGGTTGTGAAGGCTGGTAGCCTCAGTAATAGAAGGAAAAGAACTGGAGCTCCCTCTGTCTGCTCTGCTCTCACTCTGGAAGGCAGCCTTTTTTGTCCTAATAAGGAAAGCTTTTCAAGGAGGTCTGGCTGTTCTTAGTCACCTAGTATGGTGCATGATCAACTGGGAGGGAAAAATACACAGGAACAGCCAGTCACAAGAATAGACTTGGTTTTACTAGACCTTCAGAGGTTGTCCTTTCTTCCTGGCTGAAGCTGTGCCTGTAACCCTTTGTCACAGGCTTGCATCTTCTCCTTAGCCCCTGCTCCACTTGCCAGGAAGTAGCTAAGTTCCATGTCTCTGTGCTCCAGTTTATAGGCTCCTTCCAGGCCTGACTGTCACCAGCCTCTTCCTCCTCCTCCTCCTCCTTTATTTGTAAATCCTCAGGAAAATGTATGCTGGTGTCTGTGAAGGGAAAGATCAGCACAGTCCAATTTCTGGGACTTCATCTTACCCTCACCAGACTCAACCCCCAACTCTTTACCTGACTCTGGAGTATCTACACCCTTTTTTGGCTTGCAGTCTTGGAGAAGCTGGTGAATGGTCTGTAGTTTCTTGTCCAAAAGCTCCCGTTCAGTTCCAACCAGAGCAGTCACACTGCAGAAATACCCACTCAGGGCCTGCCCAGTCTGTCCTGTACTTCCCACCTACCACAATCCCCTCCCAATTCTCACTGCTCAAAAAGGGGCTCCAGCTGGGCCATCAGGTTGTTCAGGTTCTGCTCTGTCTGAGCCAGCTGTTGTGTCAACTGGGCCAGCTGCTGCTCTAGAGATAAGGGAAGGGGGGTGGTTACTTATATTCCACTGTTCCCAATCTCTTCCCACTGTGCACAGTTTAACTCACCTGACTGTAGTGATTCCTTCTTGTCTTTCTCTTCTTGGAGGACTGCAACCTCATCTTTGCCCTGTTGTAGAGGAAGGAAAAGGCTATACTGTGGCAACAAGGTTCTGCTCTAGCACCTCAGTTTCCAAAGCCAGTAAGGAGAGAAGCAGAGTTTGCAATAGAGAAAACAATTGAGTTTTTTTATTTTTCTTTTCTTTTTTTGGTACCAGGGATGGAACTCAGGACCTTGAGCTTGTGAGGCAGGCAGCAGTGTTGGGCACTGAGCTAAATCCCCGGCCCAACAATTGAGTTTTTAGCTCAAAAAATCACAATCATTTCTAATCCAGCTCGTCACATCACATATCAATATGCCCCATATGTGATCAGTGCTGAAACATTTTTGGGAATGAGCAACTCTCTTCCAGTTTGATAAAGCTTGTCAGATACTTCATATACAAAGCCACAGCCTGTTCTCTTTTTTTCCATGATGCCAATTAGAGATTAGAGCTTTCCAAATAATGTCTGTCTCTTCAACATGACAGACCCTCAGGAATTTGAGGACAATGGTCGTATTCCTTCTTACCTGTCTTGTGTGAGTGTGTGTATACACTGGGAATTAAACCCAGGGCCTCTACCTGCTAAGCAAGTGCTCTACCACAGCCACACCCCCAACCCTTCTCATCTTATGGTACAAAATCTTCAACCTTTTCTGTTAGTGCCCAATTCATCTCGTTACTTTATTCAACATGTAAGTGCTCTTAAAGCAGTACCTTGGTAAAAAGAAAATTCTAGTGTTCTGATCAGCAGATGAAACAAAATACTTTGTCCTGAGCAATGATTTGGGAAATTGTCACATCACATAATTTACATAGTAGCTGTGAGTTTTTTACAGCTGCTACTGTTAAGTTCCTTCCTGACCTGTATTTGGATAGAAGAACTGAGTTAAACCCGGCTTGGTGGTGCCTGTAATCCCAGCACTTGTGAGTCTGAGACAGGAGGATAACTGTGCATTTGAGACCAGCCTGGACTACATAGTGAGTTCCAGGTCAGTCTCAACTACGTAGTGAGACCCTGTCTCAAAAAAACCAATAAATAAACAAGCAAACAAAAACTGAGTTTAATCTATACTTGTGAAATTTCATCATTAAAATCAGACTCATCTTTGCCTATTAAGTCTACTTGGGATCATTTTTAGCTGCCTCCTCTAATTTCATATCTTCAAGTTGGTTCAATCCTCTTAGTTCCTTAATCCAATAAGTGTTAGAATCAGGGCTGAAGATACAGCCCTGGGAGGTACTATTTCAACAGTTTCAATCCAACAAAATGTAGGTCAGCTCACATTTCAGGGCCTCTTCCCGAGGAGCTTAGATACACTGTGGCTGCAGCATTCAACCACTTGTGCCGTCTGGAACCTCGCTAGGAACCACACTTACGTAGTTTAGACACTAGTTGGGTTGAAATCTCAGCTCCACTAGTTACTCAGTGGGTGACCCCAAGCAAAGGATTGCTCTTCACTGGATTGTGGGAAGATTAAACGCGATCGTCACTACTTATTTACCAAGTGCCCTTCACATCCATTACTTCTCTGGATCCTTATACTGTGGCAGCCTGGGCAATTAAGCGACTTAGCGAGACCTTGTTTTAAAAAATAAAGTGATTTAGCTCAGTGCAAAGACCCTGAGTTCAATCTTCAATCTCACCAAAGAAAAGAAAAAGAAAAGCACCTGTGGGAAAGCCAAGGAATTACTACTGTATGGTTTACAGACAGTAGGCAAGTAGTGTTTTGTTTTGGGTACCATGGCGCCCCCGTGGGAGATTTAGGCCCGGGGCACCCCACTCACGGCCGTCCCGCACCTGCAAACACTTGTATAGTACAAAGGCCACTACGCCTGCGGTGTACAGCGCCCCCCAAGGTAGCGCCTGGGCCCGCTCACGCTGATCCTTGGGCGGCAGTCGCTGCCAGGGTTCGGTCGCCCCACGGCCGACCTGGGCGCGGTGCCCTGCGGAGGGAGGGCGGAGAGCGGTCAGTACAGCGACGACTCCGCCCAGGCAATCCCAGCCTCCCTCCAGCAGCCCTTGCTGGTACCTGGGTGTGCTGTGAGGTGGCGGCTGGGGCGCTCTCCGAGAACCCCGACCAGCGCAGACACAAGCAGCAGGCACAGGACACACGACAGTGAAATTGCGCCCGCCATTGCTAAAGCACAAGGGAGCGCGCGTAGCTCCTAGTCCTTGCAGCATTACTTCCCGTACTAGTGCGCACGCGCACACGAGACTCGAGGTGGTCCGCCTCTGGGCTTCCTAATGAGGCCACGCCTGTTTCCCAGAGGGGCGGGACCAGAATATTTGCATGAGGGAGTGGCCGTCTGGCTTTTCTAAATTAGTTCATTTCTTATCTATTTAGGTATTCTTTTAGCCAGAATCCCTCCAAAAACTTTCAGGTCTTAAATATTATCTTTTTTAAAAGACTTATTTTTATTTTTGATTAGACTAATTTTTTCGCCCTAATCAAAAAGTGGAAACCATTTCCAGTGCTATAAAACCTTGAGAGCCCAACGTTTTACTAACGCTCGTGCTGAAGGCCTGTTTCCTAGGCTACAAACGGAGGACTTGTTCCTTGTCCACTCGCCTAGGGGAAAGTCCCCGGACCTTGGGCAGAGAGTGCCACGTGTTCGCGCACGTAGACTAGTCCGCACTTCACAGCTAGCCCGCCAAGAAGCTTCACGGGTCCTTGGGGCTCAGGTAGCTGAGCGGCGTGTCGCGGGAAAGTCATCCGTCAGCTCCTCTAGTAACGCAGGCAGTGCGCCCGTCCGCACCAACCTCACGGGGCTCATTCTCAGCGCGGCTGCATTTTATTAGCACTTTCGACTTGTGAGATGGTAGCATTTTGAGTGATAGCTCATTTTCCTAGATTACGTTGAGCAAATTACTTAATCTCTCTCCGGGCCTCAATTTGTAGTTTGAGGAATGGAGATGACAATCACAGTACCTCAAAGTTATGATTAAATGAGATAATCTAAGAAGAAAGCTTATAGCCATTGTAGTAGTGATTTGAATTTGAACAGCTACTGTAAAGACCAGCCAGTTGAAACTACATTAACTCTCCCCGGGACATCCCACCTCCTTTTCGTTGTTGCACAGTTGATTTACACAACCTTCAGTTATGAGCTGAAGTGTATTTCCTTCAGTCAGAACCCTTAACTTCTGGGCGGGAGATGTAGTTCAGCAGCGCAGCGCTGTCTGGCAAGTGCGAGTCTGATTCCTAGGACCAAAGAACAACAAAAAGCACCTTAAAAAATAGAGGACTCCTAACTTCTAACTCATTGCTTTGTAACTATTTTACTTTCTTTACTGCCGCTAGGCTCTTTCTTGTTTTAATCCCAGACCCTAGCACAGGACATGTGCTAGTAAGCACTCCATAAATAATGGTATGAAATGAATGAATGTTCACAAAATGATAAATATAATTAGGCTTTAAAAAAAAAATGAATCCAGCTCTCTGGGAGGCCGAAGCAGGAGGATCACAAGTCCAAGCCCAACATGGGCAGTTTGGCTATTTAGCAAGACCCTGTCTGGAAATAAGAATGGGCTGGGGTCTGTATAACATCTGCCTCACCACCCTGCTTTCTCCATATGTTCCACAACCCTTCTAGGAAGAAAGATTCTGTTTCATTTTTGGGGATACACAGGGCCACCTTGCAGTGTAAGGAAAGGAATACGTTCCATTCACATTTCTATCAACAGGCAGTAGGTATACGAAATATAGGTACATCTTGTTTTTCTAGAAAGGGAGGAGGAAGGACAGGGCTGGATAGATCCACACCTGGGGAAGTTGTCAGAGTTTACCTCATCACAGGCAGGCTGTGTGGAGAAAACAGGTGAGCCAGCCCTGGAATCTAGGCCAATTGGCATAGTTGATATAAATAAGGAATTCAGTCCAATTATAATGGGATAAGTGGGTCCCAACTGATTGCTGTCTTTAGGAAACTTAAACCTACTATTGCCTGACCTGATTTTTTTCAAAAGAATGATTTTATTTTGAGATGTCTCAGATGGGCTCCAAGTTGTAATTCACCTCCCTCAGCTTCCCTAATGTTGGAATCACAGACCTACACACACCATCATGTAAAGCTCAATCAGGATTTTTAAAATTGGAAATCTCACCAGGCACTGTGGCATGTCTGTAATCCCAGTACTCTGGAGGATGAGGCAGGAGGATTGCTGTGAGTTAGAAGCTACATAGTGCTATCAAGGCCAGCCTAAACTACAGAGTGAGACCCTGTCTCAAAAAATAAAAATAAAAATTGGAAATCTCTCAATTTTTAAGTATTGATAAGGAATTGGGGGTATACTTAGTATGTTTGACACTCAAGTGTATTATTTGAATTCTTAAAAATTTTTACTTGACAAAATTATTTTCAGTAATAATCATGAGAAAACTCAGACAGTGCATATTTTTAAATCATTGAACCCTGTAGATATAATCATGTCAGTGTTAAAGATAGATCGTTAATTTGGGCCCAGGATTTAACTCAGTGGCAACACACCTGACTTGCAAGTACAAGCTCCTGAGCTTGATCCCTGGTACCCCCCAAAAAAGATAGATTATTTAACTTTAAATGAAATAAAGATTGCAGAACAAAAAAGGAAATGGTAATGGATTAATACCTCTTCATTATATTATTGCATTTTTGCAAAAAGGAACAAAAATGTATGCCTACAGAATTTCATCTGAAAGACGAACAGTGTTTTTTTTTAAACTGTGGCAAATTTGTCAAAAGTAATCTTTATGTATTCATAGCCAACAGAAATATAACCAGATTTGTTGAACTTACAGTTGACTAAAGGACCTTTTATTAAATTTCATTTCAAAAAGTTTCTTTCACATAAAGCAACAAGTATACAAACAGGAAAGGTCTTAAAGCATAAGGATAAGTTTGGCAGAAATTCACAAAAGTCATATTTCCTGACAAATTCCAGAAAACTTAAATATAAATAAAAACTCTATGTCATCCAGAATGATGGAATTATGTAACTCAAATTCAGTTTCTTCCACGGTCACTTGCTATAATTGTTTATTTCATTTATTGATTGATGCTAGGCATGGAACCATACCCTCAGCCACTACCCTTTTCTGTGCTGGGGTATATGAATCTAGGGCCTTGCTCTACCATAAGCTCCACCCTCAGTGCTTCGTTATTTTCGAAAGCTTTCTTTTATTTTCTCCCTGACTCCCTCCCTTCCTTTCTCCCTCCCTCTCCCCCGCAACCCTCCCTATTTGGAGATGATGCCCTCACCATGTTGCTCAGGTTGACCTCAAACTCCTGTGCTCCAACACTGAACTCCGAAATACCGAGGACTACAGGTACATACCATCCTACCCAACTCATTGTTTATTTTAAGTCTACTCGTTAAATGCAGAAATATGTAGTTAAAATAAACAATGAGTTGGGTTAGAAACAAATATTGTGCTGGAAGTAAACTTGAAGAATTCCAAACTGTTAAGAACTAATTCTAGATATAAATATGTATAGATGAATCTGCTTGTGTTAAGATCATTTTGCAAAACTAGCAGTTCTCTGGATTAATTTCCATTTCAATTACAAAGTTTAAAAAATATGAACAGCAAAATATGCTCATTTGAAATTTCTATATCATTAAAACTCATTAAGTATCACAGCAATTTAGAACTAAGATCTACAGAAGATTTTGAAGGGAAAACTATTTTGTCATTGACTTTTGTGGGGTGGGTGTAGCAGGGATGAAACTTGGGATCTTGTGAGGCAGGTGGCAGAACCACTGAGCTAAATCCCCGGCTGTCACTGACATTTTTTAGACTTACTGAAACATAACAAAAAGGAGCCTGGGCTGGTTGTGGTGACACACACATCTGTAGTCCCAGCTACTTGAGAGGCTGAGGCAGGAAGATCACAAGTTTGAGTTCAGCCTGGGCAAGTTAGCAAAAACCCTGCCTTGTCTAAAAGTAATTTCAAGCTGGTCATGGTGATGCATGCCTATAATCCCAGTACTCTGGGAGGCTTAGGTAGGAGGATTTTGAGTTCAAACCCAGCCTGAGTGATTTAGTGAGAGCCTGTCTAAAAATAAAAAAGTTATAGTTGGGCATGGTGATGCATGCCTGTAATCCCAGTACTCTGGGAGGCTTAGGTAGGAGGATTTTGAGTTCAAGCCCAGCCTGAGTGATTTAGTGAGAGCCTGTCTAAAAATAAAAAAGTTATAGTTGGGCATGGTGGCACAGGCCTGTAATCCCAGCACTTTGAAAGGCTGAGGCAGAAGGATCACCTTGAGGAGGCCAGCCTAGAGTACATAGTGAGTTCAAGACCAGAGCCTGAATACATTGTGAAACCCTGTCTCAACACCCCACCCCACCCCCCAAAAAAGAGCTGGGAGTGTAGCTCACATGCAAGAGTACTTACCTAGTATGTGTGAGGCTCTGGGCTAAATTTTCAGTGGGTTACAGGAATAAGGGGGAGAGGTAGAGAGAGAGAATGAATTTTAATTTATTTTATTTTTTTTTACAAGTCTCTACAGACAGTATACTTCCTTACTGCCTGTAACCAGAGGGGCTGGGTTTCTGCCATCCTTATTGTTGGGAGGCCACTGCCAAATTTTTAATTTATACTTTCATTTATAGCCAGAATTTAAATTCCCTCTTCCCATATCAGTAGCCTCCCCCAAGGCTGGGCTACCTCTAGGACCACAGGCAGTGCCCTGAACTCCTGCCCAGGATCCAGGGCAGACGCAGCAGGGTAGTCCTGGGTGGATTCTTTAATGCATGTAACATAGCCACTCTTAGGAAAAATTTGGATGAAGTGGGTCAGGAGAGGAAACTCTAGCTCCCTCTGTTCCTCAAAGCATAAAACTAGTAACAGCGACAATGATCACTGAATGCCTTTCCTCTCAATCAGCCTTAAGCTGTGGAGGCACTGTGGGCACCAAGGTCTCTCCCCAGTGGAGCATGCTCTCTGCAGAATCCGCCCTCCTCCTTGGGACTCAGAACCGGAGAGAAAAGAGGACATCCAGTGGCAGTGGTAGAGGGGTGCTCCTGTCCTTGTTCCTGCCTCATGCCACTTCTGTCCCGCAGAGTATTCCTGGACCCATATGCACGTGGCACAGGATACTCAGGCCTGCTTCTCTCCCTGGGTCGAAGGGCGTGGGGGGAGGGGAGCACAGAGCCTTGCAGGTGCAGGCACAGGGCGGGGTCTTTGTTCTTTCGTTCATCCTTCCTCCCCTCCCCCTTCCTCCCCGGAAACCGGCAGCTTTGCCACCACCACCACCAGTATCGAGGATGCTGAGCTGTGAGGGCCGGGGCCCGGGAAGGGATGGTTGTAAGAGGGGCTGTGGCAGCTGTCAGGCCATGAATGTGGCCAACCCTCAGCTCAGCGCCGTGTGCTTATGGACCAGGGTTTCACATCAGCAGTCATGAGCAAAGGTGACAACTACAACTGCACGGATCCACCAGTGTTGGGTGAGCTGGGCGGGGCCGGGGCTTTGGGGAAACAGGTCATGTGGCCCCCACCTCCTACCTGCTGGCATGGGGGGACGCTTGGCTGGGTAGTAATACACCCCCTCTTCTCACATCTACAGGATTCCCCTCCATAAGCCAGGCTTGGGGATTGTGGGCCCTCTTAGGGGTTGTGACACTCCTGCTTCTCATCTCACTGGCTGTTCTCTTCTTCCAATGGGCCAGTGGCAGGAACAGAAGCCAGCCAGGGCAGGGACGGTGAGTGGAGGCAAACATGGATAGCTTGTATGAGGGTTCTCTCTTCCAGACAAGTCCACACTCATCCCCCAAACTCTGCATTGCAGCTCTGGAGGGTCTGTGGAAGAGGTGCCCCTGTATGGGAACCTGCACTATCTACAGACAGGTAGGAAGCCACAAAAGGGAGGGCACAGGGGCCAGGTCCTGGGGCACGGGGTGGGGAAGTGCAAGAGAGAAACAAGAGGCTGACTTGTTCCCATCCCCTGTCCCAGGACGGCTGTCACAAGAGCCAGGGCCAGGCCAACAGGATCCATCCTCTGGAGGCTCTGCCAAGGTGAGTTAGCTGTGGTTGAAGAAAAGGGGGAGAAAGAAATGGGGCCCTTTTCCGAGGGTCCAGTGAACTTCTAACAGTTTGCATCTCCAGGTTATGGAGGAGGTCATGTGCTACACCAGCCTGCAGCTGCCGCCTCCTCAAGGCCGGATTCCCAGCCCTGGGACTCCCATCAAGTACTCCGAGGTGGTGGTAGACTCTGAATCAAAGCCCCAGGCGGCAGACACCGAGCCGGAGCTCTATGCCTCAGTATGTGCCCAGGCCCGCAGAGCCCGGGCCTCCTTCCCGGATCAGGCTTATGCCAACAGCCAGCCTGTGCCCAGCTGAGGAGGGCCTGGCATGGGGGGGCATATGCGTGGCCTGCCTCCCCCATTAGAGAGGCTCCTGGTGCCATGTTTGGAGGATGCCTGTTTCCCAGCCACCCCGCAGGACAGCAATCCATTGCCCAGTCAGAGGTGATGATCTACCCAAAACTTCCTATGTAAGTTGTGAGGGAAACATCTCAGGGTATGGCCATCCTCTCCCTGGCTTCCAGAGGATGGAGGCAGCAAAGGGAGCGGCCCTATCTCCACTTTTCTTTTCTACTTATTTGTCTCAGCCCCAAACTCCTAGGGTCTCACTTCTTCCTCCTGAAATTTAACCATATCCTCCCCACCCCCTCCCCCAGAGCCTACTCTCACCTTAGGCACCGGAAGTGGGCAGCCACCAGGGAGGAGTAAGAACCTGAGAGGATGTGGGTGGGTATCATCCTTGGGAGCCCACAGACTGGAAGGGTCTTAAGGACCTGTAGACCTGAGCAACCCAAGCCTGGCTTCTGACCTGAGGACGCGGCAGGAAAATACAGTCTCCATGCTGGTTTCTCTGTCATGTCTCCTACTTTTCAAATAAAACTTCAACTTGTGTTCAGATTATTATCTAGAAGGCTGTAGACCTACAACAGGCCTCACAGTGGTGGTGTGAGCTTTGCCACCTGCACTTTCTGGGGTGCTTAGGTAGGGAAAAGAGACAAAGAGGGGCTGAAGAGATGGGTGATATGAGGGGAGGACGGGAGGTCAGCTCCTCAGCTGCTCTTGCTGATGCAAGAACATTCTCAGGATTTGCCCTGAGAGGTTCCCCATTGCCGTGGGGGTCTGCAAACTCACCAGGCCCTGAACTACTCTCCCGGTATCCTCTGTAACTGTGCTGCCACCTCTACAAACCTGCCGGTCCAGCTCTTCCACCAATTCCCCGCTGATCCCCACGAGTCCTGTCTAAACCCCTGTTTTGGCATCAGCAGCCGCCTTCTCTCTGCCAGCCTCCCCTTCCTTCCACCACTATGCCAGCAGTCCATCTGCCTCCATTTGTCTCCCAGCTGTCCAGGGAAGACAGACAGCTACAACCCTGACACCAGCCCTGTTGTCACCACTGCCGTTTCATCCCTATGCAACCTGCCTTGCTTGCTGTATTCTTTTGTTGTTGTTGTTGTCGTTACCTGGGATCAAACTCAGGACTTTGCCCTTGACTTGCTATATTCTTAACCCCAGCCTCCTGCACTGTGTAGCAGATAGGTTGGCATCAAGGTTAGAACTGTAGGCTTGGGAGTCAGGCCCCTGAGTTCAGATTCTACCTCTGCTACTCACCTACCAGCTGTGTGTTCTTTTTTGCTTGTTTGTTTTGTCTTGGGTTTTTTTTTTTTTTTGTCTTGTTTTATTGAGACAGGGGTCGATATATATTCCAGGCTGGCCTTGAACTCTTGGGGATCTCCTGCCTCAGCCTCCCAAGTGGTGAGATTATAGGTGTGTGCCACCATGCTCAGCACAGCTGTGTGTTCTTGAGCAATGGGGCCTCTGTTTATGAATCTGTAAGATATAATAATGTCTTTTGTAAAATCCATTAAGTTTATTGGTGCATTTTAGGTGTACAATATGAAGACATTCATCATTGGGAATTTGTACCTTTACGTGATATATCTTAGTTCTTATTTTTATTTATTTATTTTTTTGGTACCTGGGATGGAACTCGGGACCTCACACTGCGAGGCAGGCGGGGGAACCACTGAGCCAAATCCCCAGCCCCTTAGTTCTTATTTTTCCCCCATTCCCCTGTCCTCCTTTCAACCCCTCCACATCTCTCTATTTACAAAGACTTTGTTTCCATTTTTTCCTTTTCCATATTTATTCCTTCCCCTTCTTTTCTTACTCCAACCCCTCCAACTTCCCCTTCCCCTTCGGACCTTTTTCCCCTATTTCACATTACCTGTTATACATTTTGATCCTCATTTACACTTTCAGTTTCTCACACCTGAGAAACTATTTGGTGTTTATATGTTTTCACTTAAGTATATGGCCTCAACGTGCATCCAATAGTGTCTATTTTTAAGCATTTAAAAGAGGGTAAGTGTGCAATAATGCTAGGAAGTAGAAGAATAAGAGAAAAATGGGATCAGCCTGGTATGATGGTACTGGTGTGGTGATTCCAGCACTCTGGAGGCTAAGGCAGGAGAATTGCCACAAGTTCAAGGCCATCCTGGACTACATGGTAAGGCCTTGTCTCAGAGAGCGGGAGGGAGGAGACAGGGAGACAGGGAGGGAGAGAGAGAGAGAGAGAGAGAGAGAGGGAGGAAGAAAGAGGAGAGAGAGAGAGGGGCTATTAGCTTATAGTTTAAGTGACTTTAGGCAGCAACGTGACACATAGCCAAGAGAACTGAAGGACAGAAAACAGTCCAGCAGAGGGAACCACAAGGCAAAGAAAGAGGACAGCTCTAAAACAGCTCATCACCTCTGTCATCTGGCAACACCACACTCTGTGTGTTTCTCATCTCCTAGGTCTCTTTTGGACCTGGCCTGCCCCTACCTTTCCCGGAGCCCAGCTATGATCCATCTCTCACTCTGGCAAAAGTTCCAGTAGGGCCAGCTCCCTTTCTGCTCCAATTTTCTGCAGGGGGCAGGAAAAAATATTTGATTTGGCCCTAAGCTCTAAGCCTCCTCCAACTTGGGCCCTGTAGAAGCAGGTCTAGCTTGACGGACTTCTGAGGTTTGAGGGGCAAAAGAAAGGGGAAGCTGAGGTTTTCACTTCCAACCTTCTCTCCTGTCTAACTTAAGAGTTCACAGGGTAGGGAACCCTATGCTTGATTCAGACCGAATGGTCTCAATTAGAAGGGTACCCCTGCCCAGAAAAACCCAAATGCCCTTGGGATCCTAGGACCTCTGAAGACCCCAACCTAGAACTCCCCAGGAACACTCAGGTCGCGATTAAAGAAAGGCAGGAAGCTGGGGTTGTGTGGGAGGGAGGGTGGTTTTGGGGGCGGACACCGGATGCGGGGAACCACCGGCAGCTAGAAGTGGGCTTCTCGGAGTTGCTGTGCTTCTGAAGACCGCTAAAGTGTTCGTTCGCTCCAGAGGGACGGCTCCATTCCGGAACTGGAGGGGATCGGAATCCCACCAACCCCCTGGGACGAGCCAGAATCGGGGCTAAAGGCTCGAATGCTCGCAACACAGGACGCAGACAAGCCCCCCCTCTCACTCCCGACCCTCTTCTTCTCCTAGTTGGATCCCCCACCGCTCAGGGGTGAGCCCCAGCACACTCGCCTGGAGAGATTAGGCCTCTTCACCAGCTCTGCGCCTGCGCCAAACTGCCCAGGTCCATGGCATTCTGGGAGTTGTAGTCCCAAGGTTTGGGGCTGCTGCGAAGCCCAGCCCAAGCCTACACTCAGCCCCGATCCCCTCCCCCACCGTTCTCCTTGGCTTGGGTGACTAGGCTACCTCAAACCATCACTCTTAAATTGAATTTCTGCGAAGCGATTTTATTTTCATGTGTGCCGTGGCGAAGAATGATTTGAACCGTTTCCCTTCCAGTCCCCAAAGCCTAGATCTTCTGCTTCCTTCATTCTGTACACCCCTTCAGTTTTGCTTTCCTTCTATTATCAGGGTTGTTGCTCTGGCTCAGGCCCTCAACGCTGAACATCAGGACTATGGCAGCTTTCTAATTGCTGAATCTAAGAGGATAAGCTGGTCAACTCCTCCCATTCTACCAAATGCCAGATAATTCTCTCTCTCTCCACAGCCCCAATTACTTTCCTTCGTGAACTCCTTTGTCTCACAAATTCATCATTCCAGCCCGGAGTGTCCCAGAGGGCAGATGTCAAAGGGAAGCCACTAGAACCTTTCCTTTTCTTCCTGAAATCTTGGCAACCCAAAGAGTAAGGGTTTTTGGAACAAAGAATCAGGGACAAGAAGGTTTTTTTGTTTGTTTTGTTTAGTTTTGAGACAGGATCACACTTTGCAGTTCAGGCTGACCTTAATTGACTATGTGGCCCACGCTGACCTCAAACTCTTGGCAGTCTCCCTGCCTCAGCCTCCTGGAATGCTTGGATCACAGGTGTGAACCACTATGCCTGGAAAATTTAGGGATTACTTATAGGTAGAAAAGGGCCATCCAGCCAAGATCTCGCTATTTTTGGCTTTCCTCTGTAGTTGGTCAAAGTGAGTTTATTTATTTAAAATTTTCTTGTTTTTTTTTTTTTTTTTTTTTGAGACAGGGTGTTGATAATGTATCCCAGGCTGGCCTCGAACTCACAATGATGCTCCTGCGATATGCTCCTGAGTGCTGAGGTTACAGACATGTGCCACCAAACCCAGTTTGCTCAAAGAGAGTTTAATTTCTGAACTGGTTTTGCCTACAAGGAATGAGATGGAGACCAAGTCTTAATGATGTCATTGGAAACTTTGGATCCAGTCATGCCCAGAGCTAGCTCTGCCTTCCGAATTTATCAGTTATATAATCTAATAATTTCCCTTTTTGCTTAAGTCAAAGTTAAATTTTTTATCTTTTGCTACCACAAGTTCTGACTAATTCTGTGAGGGGAGCAGGCAGACAAAGGCCAGCTCAAAATGCTGAACTACTGAGATCTTCACTTATTGCTTAATCCCTCCACGAGACAGCCTCCTCTGGCTATTGTTGTGCCGTTTGGTGCTAAAATGTTTCTGTTTAACATGTGGCTTAAATTGGCCTCTTGCTTAGTTTATTAATTTCAACAATTTTATAGCTAGAAGTAGGCCAAGATATCTGTCCAAATTTAAATGCTCTATAGAAGTTTATGAGTCTCTTCTTGAACACCTCCATACACAGAGCCCTCACTACTGAAATGAAAGCACTCACTTCCAATCATTTTTACTGATAAAGTGTTTATTAGAAACCAAATCTGTCTCCTTTGTTTGTACATTTATTGTGGTGATGGGGGTTGAACCCAGGGCCTTAGCAATGAGCTGCATTCTCAGCTTTTTATCTTTATTTTTTTGAGACAGAGACTCCTTAAATTGTTAAATTGCCCAGGCTGGGATTGAACTTTTGGTGTGTGTGTGTGTGTGTGTGTGTGTGTGTGTGTGTGTGTACTGGGGATCAAACTCAGGACTTTTCCCTTGCAAGGCAGGGGGCAGAACCACTGAGCTAAATCCCCAGGCCTGGGCTTGAACTTTTGATTTTCCTGCCTTGCCTCAGCCTCCTAGAGACTTGGACTTGGCAGTGCTGGGGCCTCGCTGTGAGGACAGCATGGGTCTTTAATGCTCCTGGCCCTCCAGTCACCTGACTCAGACACTTTCTTAATCCCTGGATTGATATATTTACATATATCTGGATTTCTTCCCAGTTTGCTGACTTGCTTTCCTCTTCTTCACTGTATATTCTCTACTTCCTCATAACAGTTTCACATTTCTTCCTCTATGACCTCAGTTAATATTTAATCATAGAAATGTTAGGTACATAGGGAAAAAAATAAAATAGAATGCATAGCTGTGGAAGGGGTATACTACTAGGGGAGACTGTCCTCCAGGGCACATTTGGGAACTTGAGGAAACATTATCGTTGTTCCTATTTAATGCTGGGGATTGAATCCAGGGCCTTGTATGTGTTAAGCACGTGTTACATCACTGAGCCTCAGCCCAGCCCCTGAAATAAT